CCGACACTAATCCTTACATTTTTATGAGGTGCCGACCAGGTCATCGTACTGATCCTGACCGACATCGATCCTTACGTTTTTATGAGGTGCCGACCAGGTCATCGTACTTATCCTGGCCGACACCGATCCTTACGTTTTTATGAGGTGTCGACTAGGTCATCGTACTGATCCTGGCCGACACCGATCTTTACGTTTTTATGAGGTGCCGCTTTGACTCGATCTAAGCCTAAAACGACCTAGCCTCTAAAAGAAAAGAGTAAATTACATTCTTGATCTAGCTCGTCAAGTAATCTAACAATAACGCTATTTACTGAATGAGAATATCCTAGACCTATTGGTAGGACTTCTTCAGAAACGCCGAGTTTTGTGGGTACTGATGGGGGGTGCCATCTAGGTGTTCAAGTCGATAGGCCCCGTGTGGAAGGAACTCGTTGATTTGATATGAGCGTGGTTTGACTTGGGATTTGACGTGTCTCTCGTTTCGTCTTTTATATGTGGCGTTTCTGAGCTCGACTCACGGTGCTCGTCTGCGAAGATGGGGCTTGCTCTCAGGGACTTGTCGCGCTGGCGAAGTGTTGATAGGCCTGGTGGAGCTAAGGCTCGTCAGCGGGAGAGGTAAAGATATTAAGTTGGCCGAAGCGAAGGTAAGACGGCAGTGAGAGTAATAATTACGTTGGCCCGGCAGAGTAGGGGCTTGTCGCCGGGATAAGTGGAGATGCCGGTCTGGCCGGAGCTGGGCTCAACGGCGGGTGAAATAACAACGTCACGGCCTGAAGGTCTTGTGACTTTCCGAGATTGAGAAGTGTTCGAGGAACGGTCGTGCCTATCCCGAAGGCTTGCAGCAGACCGGATTCCCTCAAGCCTTCCAGTCTCGGCTCGACTTGTCGCCGAGATAAGTGGAGACGTCGTCCTGGCAGAGCAGGGGTTCACCGCCGGGATAAGCGGAGGCGTCGACCCGATAGAGCAGGGGCTCGTCGCCAGGATAAGTGGAGGCGTCGACCCGGTAGAGCAGGGGATCGTTGCCAAGATAAGTGGTGACGCCGGTCTGACCGGAGCTGGGCTCAACGGCGGGCGAAGTAAAGACGTAGATCCGGTAGAGCAGGGGCTCGTCGCCGGGATAAGCGGAGGCGTCGACCCGACAGAGCAGGGGGCTCGTCGTCGGGATAAGTGGATACGCCGGTCTGGCCGGAACTGCGCTCAACGGCGGGCGAAGTATAGACGTCAGCCCGGCAGTGCAGGGGCTCGTCGCCGGACTGGATAGGAACGTCGGCCTGGCCGGAGCTGGGCTCGACAACGGGCGAAGTAAAGATGTCAGCCCGACAAAGCAGGGGCTCGTCGGCGGGCGAGATGTAGGTGCCGACCTAGTCGAAGTGTAGGCTTGGCGGCAGTAGAAGTAATAATGTTGGCTCGGCAGAGTAGGAGCTCGTCGGCGGGCGATGTGTAGGGGCCGACTGGTCGAAGTGCAGGTGCGGCGGTAGTAGAAGTGACAACGTTGGCCCGTCAGAGTAGGGGCTCGTCGGCGGGCGATGTAAAGACGTCAGCCCGGTAGAGCAGGAGCTCGTCGTCGGCCTGGATGGGGACGTCGGTCTGGCCGGAGCTAGGCTCAACGGCGGGCGAAGTAAAGACGTCAGCCCGACAGAGTAGGGGCTCGTCGCCGGACTGGATAGGGACGCCGGACTGGATAGGGACGCCGGCCTGGCTGGAGCTGGGCTCAACGACGGGCGAAGTAAAGACGTCAGCCCGGCAGAGCAGGGGCTCGTCGCCGGACTGGATAGGGACGTCGGCCTGGCCGGAGCTGGGCTCAACGGCGGGCGAAGTAAAGACGTCAGCTCGACAGATCAGGGGCTCATCGTCGGACTGGATAGGGTCGTCGGCCTGGCCGGAGCTGGGCTCAACGGCGGGCGAAGTAAAGACGTCGATCCGGCAGAGCAGGGGCTCGTCGCCGGGATAAGTGGAGGCGTCGATCCGGCAGAGCAGGGGCTCGTCGCCGGGATAGGTGGAGACGCCGGCCTGGCCAGAGCTGGGCTCAACGGCAGACGAAGTAAAGACGTCGATGCGGCAGAGCAGGGGCTCGTCGCCGGACTGGATGGGGACGCCGGCCTGGCCAGAGCTAGGCTCAACGGCGGGCGAAGTGAAGACGTCAGCTCTACAGAGCAGGTGCTCGTCGCCGGACTGGATAGGGACGTCGGCCTGGCCGGAGCTGGGCTCAACGGCAGGCGAAGTAAAGACGTCGATCCGGCAGAGCAGGGTCTCGTCGCCGGGATAAGTGGAGGCGTCGATCCGGCAGAGCAGGGGCTCGTCGTCGGGATAGGTGGAGACGCCGGCTTGGCCGGAGCTGGGCTCAACGGCGGGCGAAAATGAAGACGTCGATCCGGCAGAGAGGGGCTCGCCGCCGGGATAGGTGGAGACGCCGGCCTGGCCGGAGCTGAGCTCAACGGCGGGCAAAGTAAAGACGTCGATCCGGCAGAGTAGTGGCTTGTCGTAGGACTTGATGGGGACGTGGGCGTGGCCGGAGCAAGGACTCAACGGCGGGCGAAATAACAATGTCACAGCTTGAAGGTCTTGTGACTTTTCCGAGACTGAGGAGTGTTAGAGGAACGGCCGTGCCTATCCCGAAGGCTTGCAGCAGACCGGCTTCCCCCAATCCTTCTCGTCTCGGCTCGACTTTTCACGAATAAGATTCGGTCCACATTTTCATTCACGCATATGTATATATACGCATGTATATCTATTATTTAATATTCATACACATAACCCAAGAGCGCTTAGATGAGATGACTTGGGTCTCTTCCAGCTTAACCAGTGGTCTCGTGTTCGAGCCCTGGGAATGCAGCAGTGTTAAAAACTCTTGAGGGAGAGCTTTGCCGCTCTTGTGGTCCTACCCGGCTCGATTCCGGATTAGTCGGTTTCTCTGTGGATTCGGAAACCAGAAGGTCCCAGTAGCAAAAAAAAAAATATTCATACACATATATTTTTATTATTTATATATATGTATATATATACGCATATGTGTTAATTGTTACTTATTATATATAATAATTATTATCACAATAAATATATATATTTATATATGCACAGTACACATGTTTGTGTAGTACATATATATCGGCTGTCCATATAATTACTTACATATGTGCAGTACACATATATGTTTGGGAAATTTTTATATTTACTTACCGATTTGTAAGTAATTGTAACAATACCATTCAAACAAAAAAAATTGTGTATTTACCTAACTAATGAAAAGATATTAAATCGATGCC